CTTAATTGACAAAGTTTGAGTTTAGTGGTTATACCCTAGTGCTTGTTATGCGGCCGGATCAAAGCTCCATGGTGTTAATCGACCAAAGAGGTCAAGTCTTTCTCCAAATAAGCTAAGGTAGGGCACGAGGACCAAGTTATAATCTTATTTTGTACTAATGTTAATTAAAGGATTATTAATTAATTTTTAAATTAATTAATAATAAATTAATTAACTAATAGCTTTAGTATAAAGAAGAGTAAAGTGTGAGTGAAAGTTGAAAGGATTGACTTTTGAATACCAAGTTGGGCCTTAAACTCTACTAAGGAAAAAGAGCAAGGTCAGACTATATTGCCTTAGAATCACAAAAGGGAGAATAAGAGTCATTGAAGCTTGAGAAACGCTCAATCAAGCAACAAAAGGTGCTTGAAATGAGGGGGGAAGTGCCATATTTCTAAGCCAAGGGGTGCAAAGTCAAGGCCACGTCAGTACCAAAGTCCCCTTTTTCGGTACCGAAGTGCACCTTTTCAGTACCGATTAGGGCCTTTAGTACATGCCATTTCGATACTGAAATTGGGGTGATCGGCATCGATCAGGGGCAAATTACTTCCTTGCCCTTACTCTTTGATTTAGGGTTTTTGAGCTTTCAGAGGTCCATTCAAGGCCCAAACAACATCTGATCGAGCTAATTCTTGCGTCGTTGGAACCATAGCAAAATTTCCTAAATTGCTAAAATCATGGTCAAAAGCTTGCCCCCTCCTAGGGATCAAAGCCGATCAAAGCTCGATCTAGCAAACTCCAATTTTAGTACTTTAGAAAGGAATTTTGGTTTGAGAACCATGCCTGACAACTTGTGGTAATGTCTGGAAAATCCTGTGTGAATCTCAACTGATTTTGAGAATATTTTTCTACGGCTGGTTCAATCCATATGATTTTTCGAGCCCTTTCTACAAGCATCTGTCAGATAAAAGGTAGGGCTACATTTGGGAATTTATCACGAACGTTTTGACGATAACCATGCATCATTTTGAATCTAGATGAGTCCCAAGAGCCCTGATCTTCTGGGTAAGGGTGAGGCTCGCCCACCCCTTTTCCTATAAATAGTGGAGGGATGAGTGCTAGCCCATTTGCTCCACACATTCTCCTTCTCTCTTTTGTCTTCATTTGTTCTTTCCTCTGCCCAAATTCTGTCAACATGAGTTCTCAAGTACCCTCATCCTCATAGTCTCCTGCTAACGATTCTAAGCGGAGCGTGAATGCATCCTATCCTTTGCTACTGACCAGGCAAGTTGAGTAGGAGCGGCGCCCACCGTCACCAATGAGGCCAGAGACTGGTCGTTGGGCATCTGTAACTGTGGTGCCGGACCTGCTATTCTAGGATATGCAGCGAGTGAGATACGTCACTCAGCACGGCATGGCCTCATACATCCTGACGGACGACATCCCTGACCACTAGCCAGTCTATCCTTAGGGCATGCCAGTATATATATACATACGCCCCCCCCCCCCCTTTTTTGCTGACTATGAAATTTTATGTACTTGGCAGCCTCCTCCAGGTTGGTGTGAGGGGACGATATTCCTGGTGGGTCAACTTAGTGGAGCGCTAACTGAGGCCCTAACTCGAGAGAACTTCCTGGAGGACTAGGTCTAAACACTATAGGATGACCTTAGACGACGCTGAGTTCCCGGGTTCCTACCTTTGTTCGTTTTTATTGCTTTTTAAGATAGGCCATAGATTTAGGTTTGAACAATCTTAGGGACTAACTTTATAGCGCTTTTGAGTTGATGCTGCTCTGATAGCAGCATCTTCTTTTGTACAGTCTTGGAATATACCATTTATGAAAATATCGGATTGTTACTTCTGTGAGTCTACTTCGCTTATTTCATCTGTCTGCAATGAATACTTGACTTTTTTATTCTACACTGATTGCCTGTTTTGTGTAAGTTTGCACTAAATGCCTATTCTAAGTGAGTTTGCATTGAATGCCTGATTTATGACTTTTCCTGAGTTTAGCACTGATCGCCTTGTTCATACTAAATTTACTCTGATAGCTTGCTTTGCACTGAACTGCCCATTTATTCTGTCTGATTTGAAAACTACACTAACTGCCTGGTTTGAAATTGATCTGATTTGAACCCGCACTGAATTGCACTAAGAATTGCACTGACTACCTGTTTCAAATTTGCACTAAATGCTTGATTTATGATTGTTTCTGATTTTGGCATTGATTACGCTATTTATACAGAATTTGCACTGACTGCTTGTTCTGAACTTGCACTGACTACTTGTTCTGAAGTTGCACTGACTGCCTGATTCTTGATTCGAATGACATCCATACTGAATTGCATTGGGATTTGCACTGGCTATCTGTTATGAACTTGCACTAAAAGGCGTTGTACCGCATGTTTTCTTGTGATTGCAGTAAATTGCCTGTTCCAATTCATTTTGACCCCCTCCTGAAAGTCATGGTTAGGTAAAATAGAATATTTGTGCATGATCCATGAGTGCCCTTCTTGATAATTTGGCTTAATTTTTGAGAGTTAGGGGATATGGGCCTAGTTTGCCAAAATCGATAGTTTTTGAAAGTTGTACCGACTTTTGAGTAAAACTCATTAATTTTGCGGCCTGAAAAACACCGGCTTTTGTGAAAAACGGTTGATTTTCTAAGAAAAAGACATTTTCGTTGTTCCGAAAAAGTTTTGGAGAAGGATTTCAGGGGGGACAATCGGTACCAACCGGAAAACCAGTAGTTCCATCCTGTTTCGACCAGCTTTTGGAACCGCCGGTTTGCGATTCCCAAAATGTTAGAACCGAAATGAACCGTATACCTCAAGTTTCGGTTTCGATTCCCACGGTTCCAGTTCGGATCGATTCCGGTTCCCACCGTTCTAGTTCCAATTCCGAACCACCGATTTCGATTCTGGGTACCGTAACATGGCCATGCCTACGCATAAGTGCTACTAAGATAAATGTTCTTGGTTTAGTATTTACAATTTAGTCCTTTGTTAAATTACAATTATGCTCTCCGTTTAGTAAATGTGATCTGTCAAATGTTTTCCCATAAATTTTTGGACATTTGTATTCTAATATGGGCTTGATCCTATGGAGGTCTAGACCAAATGCGAGCCCATAGAATGAATAGGCCCACTCAATGTGCAAAAGCACACCTACTATTAGGGCGATTCGGTTGGTGAATAAGGGTTTAAAAGTTTTTGGCGCGATCCAAAATTTAAATGAAGCATTAAATGGAAATAAATTCCGATATAGCCAATTCTTGGGTTTTCCATTTTTTCAGCCTATAATGAGAGTCTTTTACATTGTTCGCGCACTCTTCAATCTATCTATAATCAGAGCATATCTCTCTCTAGTTCTTTAGTCGACCCTAACTAAGATTAAAAGTTAGTTGTTGTTTCTTTGCTTTCTTTGGGGAATTGAGTCAATCTCCTAAAGAGGAGATTGTATATTAACCTTATCCATGTGAAAATAGAAACACTCTTTATAACCAATTATTAATTGATTACTTTCAGAATTATTGAAATAATCTTAAAATTATAAAAGCAATGTTATGCTTAAAATTCTCTCGAATGGATTCTATGTAACATTTTCACACTAAACATAAAGTTCACAGCTAACAACCTCAAAAGATGCCAAGTCATAAAAATATCCTTAAGAATACTTTAGTCTCAAATAGCTTCTGAATGAATTCCAACCTTTGTAAGGACATTTGAATCATTAAACTTACGCCAAATGTGAACATAAACTACAAATTCATAAAAATAACCAAAATACCGTTATAAGAAAAATATTTAAAAAATCTGAAATTTCACACGACTAAACGTGTCTCTATATATGACTAAAGAATACAATCACACCTATGTATCTCGTCCATAATTAAGAAAAAAATACATAAAACAGTACTAATGTATGCTAATAACTTAAATATGAGACAATTGTATCATCTCAGATTTAAAAGATCACATATACTATCTAATTAATCATAAATCATTACGTCTCAAATCTCATAATGTAATTAAATTATGTTCTAATTTGTGTAATTTAATTTGAGATTAATTGCACTTGATAATTTATAGATTTATATTGACCATTTTTTGTATTCAAATTTTTATTTTTTGAAAATAATTGTCACGACCCGGAACTATATGTCAAACCGACACTAGGGCTCATGTAAACTTAAAACCCCCGAAGACTGTAATAAGCCTAAACCACATAAATCAATCACACTAGACGAATACCTAAGAATAGTAAACCTATAATATTTTATGCATGGGTCTAATAACCACAATATTCCCGATCCAATTTCAACATCTCAAAGTAATTCGTAGTTCAGGCCTAGATATAATATACATCATTCATAATATGGCTAACTGGATCATATACATGCATAGATAAATAATTAATAGATATATATCTAATGTATGGCACACAACTTAAATATGAGACAATTGGTATCATCTCAGATTTAAAAGATCAACATATACTATTCTAATTAAATCATAATCATACGTCTCAAATCTCATAATGTATTAAATTATGTTTCTAATATTTGTGTAATTAATTTGAGATTAATTGCACTTGATAATTTATCAGTTTATATGACCATTTTTTGTATTCAAATTTTTAATTTTTGAAAAATAATTGTCACGCACCCGGAAACTATACTGTCAAGCCGACACTAGGGCTCATGTAAACTTAACACCCCCGCGAAAGACTGTAATAAGCCTAAACCACATAAATCAATCACACTAGATACGAAATACCTAAGAATAGTAAACCTATAATATTTTATGCATGGGTCCTAATAACCACAATTTCCCGAATCCATTTCAACATCTCAAAGTAATTCGTAGTTCAGGCTTAGATATAATATACATCATTCTATAATATGGCTAACTGGATCATATACATGCATAGATAAATAATTAATAGATATATATATATTATATATTGTATATATATATTAGTATATATAAGTCCTACAACTGCGGAGTTCAAAAATAAATAGGTATAGAAGAGTATTTATATATAAGTTACAGAATTTAAATATCTATGGAAATTAAAAATTACTATTATGACCCTGTGGAGAATAATCAAAGCTCTAGATGAACAACGGAGAACCTACTTCCTAAAATTGGTCAAACAAAAGAAAATTGAGTTTTGCAACTCAGTGAATAATAATAAATGGTGCATAATACACACCTGAAATGCTTCATAAAATACTAAAATGAACGCACAACCAATCAAGCATATGGCACAACCTCGGCACCTACAGATAATTACACCTTCACACAATCAAACAAGTGGAAATTGGTCAGTGATGTCACCGAAACCCTCGACGAGCCGTCCTCACACATGGCTCGTCCTCTCAAGACGTGTGCACCAGGAGCCGATCTCCTATACATGGTTGACCGATCTAATCCTCACTTGATCATCCCTCTCATTGTTTTTTTTTCATTCTCCCCATACATGGCTGACGGTACCGCAGACCGCCCTCACAAACCCATGGTGCCCACTTCATCTCAATCTCACATAAATAAGGCACAACAATATCACAATACAAATAATCAAACAATTCATTTAGTATAATGCATCAAATCAATAATTAATATGCAAACGTAAAAATAGAAATATGATGTAAATAAATATATAAATATAATCATATATTAATAATAATAAATATATAAATATAATTCATATATTAATAATAACATAATAATGCATCAAATCAATAATTAATATGCAAACGTAAAAATAGAAATATGATGTAAATAAATATATAAATATAATCATATATTAATAATAACATAGTAATATACAAATAAATGCTAAATTATCATTTATATATATTTTTTATAAAGTAAATAATATATAATTGCAAGTGATAATATACATTATTTATTATTACTCATAGTGATGGTAGTGTTGGAGGAGGGAAGAAGCGATAATACGGATTTTGACTTGTAGAAGCGATAGATGAATTCGGATGATCTTAGATAAAATATAAATGCAAAGGAAAGGACACAATTAAATAAAGAACTTTATCTTAAATAAAAGAGTTAAAGAACTATTGTAAATAAACCTATCTACTCAATCTTTAAAAATCACTAGCCTAGATTTTATTGAAATTTTAGCAACATTTCCTCTAAATATCAGATTACCTCCCTGTTAAGAATGTACAATAAAGCGATATAAACACGGCCCAATCCATGGGCAACCAATAACAAAAATTTCCCATCCTCCATTTTCCTCCTCAGTATCAACATCAATAACAATTTCACTTTTAATATCAATTCTAGTTAATCTTCAATTACACTTATAAATAATGACTGCATATTAGGAATTCATTCACACATAGAGTATACTCAAACATTTCCAATTACAATACAACTTCTTGTGATAACATTCAACCTTCAAGACCAAGCTTACAAATCATATTTAACTTGAGTATACGTATGGCATATCCAATTTGAGCGTAACATGTTTAAAATTTATTGTCCAGGATCTACATAATCCTAGTTAAGTTATAGTAGTTTAAGTTCTACTTACTTTCTAATACAAGGTCAAATTCTCGTTTGTTAGCAGTTGACAATTTAAGAAATTAGAAATCAATTTCTAAAACTAAATTCTAGACAATTCAGGACTAAAATGCTTACCTATTTCATTTCCATTTACAGATTCAGGATCGGCATGGCAAGGGGAGGCTTCTATGTCTTATGCCTCGTCGGAGTCTCACCAGACTGTCGTCAGACAACTGGGACAGCTGCCGTGCACGGTGGCCGGAGCTAGGTCCTTGCCCGGAATCCTCAAGTCTATGCATATAAATGTTCAAAATTTCGTAAGGATTCTTAATCTGCTATCAATTACTAGAACAAACAACTAATTCGAACTAAATTTCAAAATCTCCAATTCATTAAAACCTAGCTCTAGCAATAATAAATTCTCAAGGGAAAGCGAAAACCGACTAAAGAATACTGATTTAAAGAGGCTGGAGAGACGATTTAAACTCACCAAGTCAGATTATGTCGCCGGAAAAGCATTGAGGTCGCTGGAAGTCGAAGAAGAGGAAGCTGTCGAAGGAGGCAGCTTTGATTCGCGCCACTGGAGGTCTGTTTGGCGTGAAGGAAGGTAAGAATAGAGTTCAGTGACAAGAGAGGGGCATTCCTATACCAGTCTCACCGACTGGGACTCGTAGGTAGTCGGGAAAGCGCGCAGAGAGAGACAGCGGTGCTGGAGGGAAAAGGGGGCGTCGATTCGCATGAAGGAGAGCTCGGTCGGTTCAAAGGAGACTGGAATGCTGTCTAGCATCAAAAAGGGCTGATCGCCACCTTGTTCTCGCCGAACGGTGGCCGGGAACGGGAAAAGGGGAGGAGCGGGTTGGTTGTGTGCTGCGATCGCAGCTTCGCCGAAGAAGAGAGTGAAATGGAATGATTCGGTCCGATTCAAGTTTTAACTAAGTGATTTTGGTTCGATTTGAAGAAGATTATAGGCTTTTAGCGATTTCGGAATGGCTTTGGTTTGATATTTGGTTTGCTTTTCGGTTTATGGTCGGTTCTTTGGCTTAAATGGCGGTTTGATTTCCTCTATTTATTTTTTATAGAGTTTAAAATTTGAGTTATTATAATAAAATAATATTTTAAATTCTCAAATTTAAATTGAAAACTTCTAAATTTTATAAATCAAGTTATTTGGATAATAGATTTAAATTATTTTGAAATTTAATTTTCTGTTTTGAAAACCCTTGAATGAAGAAAAAGATTTAGTAGAGAAAATCACAGTTCAAATTAAAATCTAACCGACATTGACCCTTGAATGAAGAACATGTAATTGTTTTTTATCAATCAACACAATCATGAAAGAGATTCAAGAGAAGCATATGGGTCCTAAAGCAAAAGGCTCCATTTCCCATGGGAGTGGAACAATGACAATGCATAACGACTTCATGTCTAAGTATGTTATTCCGTGGACCATAATAAATGATTATCTATTAAATACTCGGTCACAAATAAATAGGACGCAATCCATCCTTGCGTTCACCAGAAGTGCTAATTGAATTAGAATTGAAATTATAATTGTATAAGGTGAAATTTGAATTAAAATTGAGTTTTAAATTTCATTTTGTTTGATTTACAAGTTCATTCTGATCATGTGATTAAATTGCAATACTAAAATTGAGATGGTATTGAAACAAATTCAATTGCAACTTCAATTTCTATCATATAGTATAATTAATTTGGTCCCATATAAGGGTTGTAGCATTTAAATGATATGTGCAATTACATTAGTCCTTATATGTAATAATTAGAATTAATATTATAATTGTAGATGAAATTGCAACGATCAGGCAAAATTTGAAATTGAGGTTTGAACTTCAATTCTTTTGAAATTAGAAGTTTATTGGAATTATATGATAAATTGCAGGTATTAACAATGATGTGGATTAATTTAAATTGTCCAATTCAAAATTTTAATTTATGGTATAATTAATTTTCTACTATTTAAGGGTTTTAGTATACAAATGATATGTGCAATTACCCCATACAAGTGGTAATTTAAATTAGATTGAAATCGTAATTGTAGGATAAAATTGCAAGTATAAGATGAAATTTAAATTAAAATTGAATTTTGAATCTCAATTTTGAACTTGTAATTATGTGATTAAATTATAAATATTGAAATTGATATGGTGTTAATAAAAGTTGAATTACGATTCCATTTTTTTTAAAATACAGTATAGTTAATTTGGTATCAGAATTGTACCAAGATATGGCCCAGTTGATTGAACTGCAAGTTCTGATTTATTAAAACGATATTTTAAAAATTTTAAAATATTAAACTTAAACCGACTCTTGAACTCTAATTTTTATCCGATTTCGATACTAATCGGTTGCGGTTCATCAAATGGTAATATTTATATGTCTTACATATAACTATATTTTGCCATGTTCACCAAGCAATAATCGCAATTTACAATGTCACTTTAGTGTGGTTCTTATTCTTACTCTAAAGGATAATATCGGTTATTATATATATTTCAAATTCTCATTTTCTAGCATACAATCTTTGACTATGATATTATTGGCATTTAACTTTGCAAAACAACTTATGATCTAAATCATAAGTGGTTTTGATCCGGATGATTATGATCCAAAAATATTTTCCATATGTATATTTAATTAACAATGAATATGAAAATGTATACCATATAAAAGCTATATATATCAATAAATATAATGCATAAATACCCAAAAAAAAAAAATAATCACATAAAAAGCAAACAAAAACTAGCAAAAGTTCAGTGGATTAAAATTTTATGAATATATTAAATACAAATAAATAAATAGATAAAACATAAAAATATTTTTTAAATAGACAATTAGTTATTAAATAAACGTAAAAGCAAAATGGATCTTGAGGAGTTAAGGCCCAGTTAAAATCCTGATTATCTAATATGCCAAAAATAAATTTGTAGCTGAAATTCCCACTTCCATTAATTGTTATTTGTTTTGGAAGGATTTAACTTATCCATTCAAATCCAACTTCTTCTATAGGCTTTTACTATTGTACAAACTTAACAATTTCTGTGTAAATACGGAACTTTATTCAAATGACACCTCTTCACTATAAAATTGATTACCGTTAAACTTATAAATTACCTTTTCTTTTATGTTTTTTTAAATAACTTTTATTTATCTTTGAAAGCACATGAACTTCAAATTTATGCTTCATTCAAAAAAAAAAAAAAAAAAAAAAAATTTATGCTTCTCAAAAAAAAAAAAAAAAAAATCAATGTAATACAATAATGCCATTGAGATTTGTATAAATACTAAAAATAAGATTATTTTTATAAATTAATATAATCTCATATGAAAAATATGTAAATCAATTTCACTTTAAGATAATTTTATTAAAAAAATGTGTAATACTGACAAAAATATTATGATTTAGTATTTTTAATAAAATATATATTAATAAATAAGAATATATATATATATATATATATATATAATATATTATATATATATATTATATATATTTATATATTTATAATTGAAGATATAAGTTACAAAGTTAATTGAAATTTTGAAATTATAGCAATTTTTTCATAAATCGAAAGCATTTGGCAATTATAAAAAAAAGGAGAATTATTATTCGTTGTTTTTATTAATTAATTTATTTTGAAGTAGGAACTGGTATCTTAAAAGTTTTGTTTTTACTTTTTAAAAGGTTCAAGTGATGCGTAAAATTAATATTTAAATAATCTAAATATAATACATGGAGAAAAGAAAATTATGTATGGGTATTGAAATTTTTAATTTATTTCTCTAATTTTATACCTCAAGTATTTTTGAATCTCAAAAATAATGATAACAAATGAATAAAACTGAATTTTTCTTTTAAAAAAATGAATATAACTTGTTTTAAAGGTAAAAGGTCATTTAAATATTTTTAAATCTATGACTTATATTTAAATAATGTTATCTAAGAATCACTACAAACTTCTGTATGGATAAAGAAAATCGAAAATCTCCATTATTTACAGTAGTTTCACCCTCTTTTATAAAAGGCAAAACCCTTGGTAAGGGGCTTCACGATGAATAGGCTACATTTAGTAAAGCTCTAATAACCAAATGCTTTTCTAACATGAACTAGAAATACATTGAATTTTGTTATGAAATAAATGGATGTCTTATACAGGCTAGAAGTTTGTATTCTTAATTATTGTGAATTCTATTTTTGTAATTTATGCAGGGCTCTATTAGGGTTCCACTTATGTAACTATATATATGTGGCTTCTCGTCAATAATAATAGCACTCTCATATTCTGAAACAACTCGAATTTTTATTTTCAAAGATTTTTCAATTAAATTTAATAAACCGACAGCCTGAAAATTTATTTCAATATTTTAATGCGAACACTTTATTTTAATATTTTAATGCGAACACTATGAGAAACTGAACCGAAAACCGATTGAAAAAGCCGAAAACCAATTGAAAATCAAAGATTTGGGTCGAACCGAATCGAATCGGTTCGACCCAAACCATCTAGAAAATTCCCTTTCTTTTTTTTATCTCCAGCACTGCACCTCTACTCCTCGCCCTCACCAGCGCCTCACCTCTACTCCACCGACACAGCCACCGCGCCGCCTCCTCCCTTCTTCTTCTTCTTCTTCTTCTTCTGCTTTCTTTCTTTCTTTCTTTCTTTCTTTCTTTCTTCTCCTTCCTTCTTCCCTGCGTCTGTCTGCGTGTGACTGGCGAGAGACAGCAGATCTGTCGCGTGCCACCTAGCCCTCGCGGGCCACCTCGCCGCCACTCCACGCCGCCAGTCGCACCGCCTCACTGCTCCTCCACGCGCCACTGCCAGTAGCTCCGCCCTCTGCCAGATTACGCAGCGCACGGCAGCAGCACAGTCTCCGCCTTGTCGCGCCACCACCGTGCCCTGCTGCTCCGCCACTGCTCCGCCACAACAGATCGTGCCTCTGCCGCCGCTCCAGCGTGCCTCCGACCACCAACAGCCACTGCTCTCCGATCCGGCACGCGTGAAAATCCCCGATCTAGCGAAATTTGACAAAAAAATTATATTTGGGGTAAAAAAATATTATATTGGGGTATAAATTAATTTAAATACATTTTAGTTAATTAATTTAATTTTATTAATGATAGTTAATTAAATTTAGTCATTTTAGTTAGTTTAATCTTAATAATTTTAGTTGATTAATTTAATTTTAGTAATATAAGTTAATGAACTTAATTGTATTATTTGTAGTTAATAAGTTTAGTTAAGTTAATGTTAGTAATGTTAGTTAATTAAATTAATCTTATTATTTGTAGTTAATTAATGTAGTTAATTTAATTTGGTAAATATGAGTAGTTAATAGCTTTATAATTTTAGTGTTGATTTAATTAAGGTAGTTTAGATATAATGCTATTGTAATGTATAATTTGGATTATGTGGTGATGTTGAGATTGAAGGAGGATGGGAAAAATGTTGTTTGATTAATTGTCCGACGGATGGGCCGTATGGATTGAATATTTGTGAAATTGTTGATATTTTAACAGGTAGATAGTCCAATTTTTACGGGAGATGCTGTCGAAATTTCGGTAGAAAAATAAAATAAATATTGTTAGAAACTAAAATAGGAAATAAAATATATTGCAGATGAAAACAAATAAAATAGAGTTAGATAGAAAAATAAAAATTTTAGTACAGAAAAGAAATTATTACAGAAACAAAATTAAATATCAAGATTAAATTACGTAGAAAAAGTTAGAATATAAAAATAAAATTCTTAGAGTGGTAAAGAAATATTGTCTGATAGAATTATTTTTTTTATGTCATTCTTACTTTGCTTAGATCGCTCGTGTTCGTCTAGTGCTCCTCTTGGACAGAATCAAAGTTAGGGATTCGTTCTCCACCACTGTGAGTAATAATAAATAATGCATATCAACATGTCAACACGCATTTGCATAACATTACATTTTTATATAGTTTACATATTGTTATTTTTCTCAATATATTATGATTATGATCACTATAATTTAAAAAAACTTATGCATAATTGTGCATTTGGATGAAATTGGTGTATTAATGATA